TTCAAATTTCAAAATTTGAAAGATTTTACAGATTATCATCCCTTAGTGTCGTCATCAAAATTATTTTGTCATCTACGTCATAGGTTCTCAAAGTGCTCCGTACGGAGCCCCGGGGCTCCGCGAGAGAAATCCAGGGGCTCCGCGAGCTATTCGATTACTTTTCAAAATACTGACTTGGCTAATTTTGTAACTGTTCAAAGAAGCAATAACAGCTTTGATAAAATTTGACAACAATATAGCCTCGGAATATGGTAAAGAGGCGGAATTAAAAAATGACAATATTTATAAGCAGGAGCGCAGCCAGGATACTTAAGAGAGAGGTGGTTCAAAATTGGAATTGGAAATTTCCGCGCAACATTCTTCGCGATTTAAAAAAAACGGATAACAAGATTTCTGTTGCGTAAAGCCATAAAATATTCAATCCATGACGTTGCGTGCATTTAAAGTGTCTTGTCGTTATAATTTAATTGTGCTCATCGTTACTCAAGTTTGATTCGAGATTACTATTAAGATTACTAAAATGAAAGAATACTATTCTAAAATAGGATAAAAACGTGATAAACTGCCAACTATAAATAAAATGAAGTCGTATTTTTGCGATCTTGGGATTTGTCAAACTTGATTTGTTCTTTCGCACTCGAGATTATTTTAAGCAAGATATCGCCGTTTAAAAAATCATAAGGTCTGGGCAAAATACGAACGATTGAAATTTATTTTCTCGCATGCAGCTCCGTCGGTAGTTTCAGAATAAAAAAAAGGTACATCGAGCGCACAATTGACTGTGTTTCGATTTCGCAGTTACGATGAATAACCGAAGAAAACCTAACATAACACCAACTGTGATTTACAATGTCTATAAAGCGTTTTTAATCTGACGTGAGTCTGCTGAAACCAAACTTATAGCGTGATCTTCCATTTTAAGTTTTAGTTTCAATATATTAGAATGCTTCTTTTCAAGCAAGAAATTTGAGTTGCAGATTTGCCTCTTTAATAATTATTATTTTTAGCATCCAGTCACCGATGACTATAATATGGTTACATGTTTTTTACATTGAACTCATAATTCCCCACGAGAACAAAAAAGAAATTATCGTCGTCATTGTGGAACAATACATGTATATGCCGAATGAAATTTTTGATTTAGGGAGAATAAACACCGGCGTAATGCTGACGAAAACGATCGGCGATTGTAACAAAATGTTATCGCGCACGTTGTTAGCGGCCTTTTAAGTCTTCCAAGAATGTCAAAAGATTCGACCCTTAATTTATTACTATGTTTGTCAAGTGTGAAATTTACAGCTTTAGTATATATAATTTATCTCTGAAATTTAGATTTATTTACGACTTGTATTAACCCTATTAAAAAAGGTTTTGCATTTAAATTAAGTAAAATACTTTTAACTTACTTACTCAGGAATATTAATCGGAAAGTAACAATTTTAACATTTATTTTGGGGCTCCGTGAATAATAGTCAACCTTTCCAAGGGCTCCGCAACACCAAAAGTTTGAGAACCCCTGATCTACGTAACCAATGTTCATACACTGGTACAAATATCTAAAAAAATATTGATGTTCTAAACCTCACCTATATATAAATGAATATGCAACGGGTAATAACGGATGGCCACCATAAAACGGATCCAGACTAGTAGGGGAATCGATTAGGTAATAGATTAGATTTTATAGCACAATACGTACAAGCGAGCAATGTGCTATTTTTGAAAATAAATAAAAGGCACTCTATAATCAGCCCATCGGTATTTGAGAAAAACCAAGATGGATAGATTTCAATCATCGAACAGTTATCATTTCTTTTCAAAAAACATGAATCATAGACAAAGCGCCCACTGATTTGGCGACTGTATACGGACTCGACTCGAATTTGCGAAATACAATGCAATACTAGTTGTCGAAAAGTTTGGATCGATAGATGCATTATCACTGAATAACGACAAATTGAGGGGAAACGCAATTTACTCTTCATTGTGCCCGAGTTCAGGCTCTTCTTGGTCTTGGTCCATTTTGAGTTTATTTTAACTCGATATTTTGTATTATAAATTAGGCAAATGACTGACTGGAACTTGTTTATGAGAGACTTGATATTAAAGTTAGTCATGAGCTACAACGTTTTGTTTGGGTACACCTGGTGATAAAAAGTTAAGTTGGCGGGATTAATGCATAGTGGGGTAAATGTAGTTTTTATTCAGCGAATAAGAAATTCCCTTGCGACACACATATTACTACCAAAATGCTTTGAAAAACGTCTGTAAAGTGTCCCTCTGTACCCCACTTGTGGGGCACATCCGGACAGACCCTGGGGCACAATGAGTCAGTCTGTCAAACTTCAACGAAGTATGCTCTAAGAAATAAGCAATTATTCAGCATACTCGTCTAAAGAACAGGGAGACTTCAAATTTGAAGATTTAATATTTTTAAAATCAATGTTCAACTGAAATAGTTCCAATATTTTGACAAAAAAATTTGTAAACAAATTTGATTATTTCCTAAAATCTAAATCGAATCTAAATCTGGAAATATTATTGATTCTGGAATATATTCCATATTGGGCCATGGGTCGAAAGAAACCATAATCTTACACAAAATATACCGCATCTCTAGGTCTCTGAGCACTTATTGTATCAAACACTCTCGAATTTTGCCCTGTAGGGCATGTCCCACTGAACCCCGGTCCATTGTTCCCCATAGGAAACAAATATTTTCAGACCATCCCACGGCGAAATTCGGAAGGTACATCCACTCGCCAAAGTTAAGAATATTTTACAGTGGACTAAAGCTGAAAAATATCAGACGGTGGTTTGTCATGTTGGAAAGGCTCAAAAAGAAGAAAGAAAAAACTGGAACGGTGAAATTTTAGTCTCAACCTCCCAAAACAAATTTCACCTCATAGCTTGCGCCGCTCTACCCGTCCGTTGTCCGTTCGCGGGGACGTTGTAACTCACCGAAGGGCGGATTGAAACATCGAACCGCGGACAGGATTGCGGATATAGTATCAGTGCGAGATCTGATTTTCCACTGTGCCCCATGTCCCAACGTGCCCCATCTTCCCCTACAATATTGGTTATAACCACATTTATTTATTAGCACATTTGATCTGTTTCTGGCACTGAGCAAAAGCATGTTCCGGCCACGGAAATGGGATGATTAAATGTCATTCAAACTAAACAATATTATTTTCACGATGCCTAACCCCGAATAATAGTAATGTTTTCAAATGAAACTTCACAGCACCTATGGAATCGTTTGTAATATTTTTATTACTTGACAATGAACAACCTCCGAAAATATTTCATCTAAAGATTTAGATCAGGGGTGTGCAATCTTTTTTATTTGCGGGCCAAATACAAGTAACTGGGTGAAGCCGCGGGCCGCACCTTCATTTAATTTAGGCTTTCTGGTAGTTGCAAGCACAAAAATTGCCTATATGTGCTATTGATCTTACGGCATTATTAGGGGTTCTTGCAGAAATAGTAGATTTAAAACGCATAAACTTCTGAAGAAACTGCTATTTAAATTTTTTGTCACACCGACTTCAAACGAATGCAGTGAGAAACACGTTTTTGCAATATAAATCGTGTATTTTGCAACAAAATTTTGCTAGCTTGTTTTGCTAATATGACTGGTATGGGCTTTGCGACGAAAAAGAATAAATACTCGTTTTGCAGGTACACCATTCGAAATTGTTATTTCTCCGCGGGCCGCACAACTTCTTCTTGCGGGCCGCATTTGCCCCGCGGGCCGCAGATTGCACATCCCTGATTTAGATGAAAAATACCACTGAGAAATAAATTCTTTAAAAGAAGTTGAAATATTGTTAAATCTTAATCAGTGCTGGGTTCAAAAATTTAAAATTGGGTTTTCTCTCGTATCGCCCCACCATCAACAGGTTCTACGGAACGCCAAATAAAATCGTAATCATCAACTACGGTGTTGCATTTGTTTAAGGTCTAAAACAAGAACGCGTTCATTCCAATAACGAGTTCGCACGAACCCGCTGAATCGTACCACGAATCTTAATTGCAATTATATTTTCGGGTTTTCCCAAGATATATTGCTTCGAAGTCCTACTTTACAATACTAGGTTTCAAAATCACAACTGAAAGAACAATATT